CCCAAAACCCACAGGGTAGAAGAAAGATTTAGAGAAAAGATGGAGGAATCTTTTAAGGAAATGGTAGGGAAGGATATATCTTACCATTGCTAGCCTTGTAGTGTTGGAAAGTTGGAATCTTGGCTTGGAATTTCTTGAAGAACTTGTGAAGATGAATCCTAGGATTTCCTAGAGAGAATGGGGAGTAGGGAGTAAGAAAGAGATGTTGAGAGAAGGGAAATCCTGAAAAATGATTTGGATTCCTTGGTTAGGGTAGGGTTTTAATGCTACCATTGTGTGAAATGAACAAAAGGGCCCCTTCCTCCCAAAACTTGTTAGGAGAAAGACAAAGTATAGGATACAAGGGCTAAAACACAAGGTATAACTCATTGACCAAATTAAAAGAGTAAGGGATTTGGTCAAACTAGGTCCCTCAACTAATTTCAAAGGGAAATTAGGATAAGAATTGTAAAACCACAAGGAATTAATTCGGGTTTTAGGGAATGAATTTCCGGGGTGTCACAGCTGGATCCAAGATGGTGACAAAAACACCACTTACTACCATCAGGCAACTTTGGTTAGAAGGAATCGTGCAAGAGCCACCATGCTTAAAATTAACGGTGAGTGGACTTCCGATCCCAATATCATCAAAGATCATATTACTAATTATTTTAAATGCCTTTTTGACAAGAACCAGGATGCAATTAGTGAAACCCCCACTCTTAATAGTGGGCGTAGCATCAGCATCAGCCAGACACAAAATTTGGTCCGGCATGCTACAATGGATGAAGTTCGCCATGCTGTCTTCGGCATGAAACGGTTTGGGAGCCCAGTGCCGGATGGGATCCAAGCGGCCTTCTACCGTCACCACTGGGATATCGAGGGTGACTCGGTAACGAATTTAGTTAACTCTTGTCTCATTTCAGGTACCGTTCCTACTGGAAAGTTAGAAGATTATATGACTCTGATTCCCAAGAAAGATAACCTTGAAAATGAGGGAGATTTTAGGCCAATCACTTTGTTAAATGTGATTTTCAAGATTGTCTCCAAAGTCCTTGTCAACCGACTCAGACCTATCATGAAGAAAATGGTGGGGCCATTCCAAAATAGCTTCCTCCCGGGAAGATCTACACTTAATAATGTTGTTATGACATAGGAGGTTATCCATAATATGTCTAAGGCCAAGGGAAAGAAGGGCTTCATGGTACTCAAATTGGATATCCACAAGGCCTACGACAGTCTCGATTGGGGGTTCCTTGAATCGGTTCTTTGTAAGTTTAACTTCCCCAATCATTTGGTTTCCCTGATCATGTTCTCTCTTAAAGAAAGCACCATATCTATCAATTGGAATGCGGGTAAGCTTCCCGCCTTTGGGGTTGGTAGAGGGGTAAGAAAAGGTAACCCGTTGGCTCCCTATTTATTTATTCTTGCCATGTAAACTCTTTCTTAGGCAATCCAAGAGAAGGTCAATTCTGGACGATGGAAATCTTACAAAGTGGCGCGTGGGGGCTCGAGCATCTCTCATCTTTTCTTCGCAGACGATATTATCCTCTTCGGTGAAGCTTTTGAACAGCAACTCAGAATCATCCTTTCGGTGATTAACAACTTTTTTCGCTAATCAGGTTTGTCTATCAACCTTAATAAATCTATCATTTATTGTTCTCCTAACACCTGTGATAGGGTCAAGCGGCGCTTAGGAGAGGTTGCAGGGATCCGGTGTCTGACAACATGGGAAAATATTTGGGAATCCCTATCCTGCAAAAAAGAGTTACGAAAGATACTTTCGGATATATTCTGGAAAAGATGAAGAAGAGACTCTTAGGTTGGAAGCGAGACTCCCTTAGCCTCGCGGGTAGAAGGATCTTGACTCAGTCGGCCCTGGCAACCATCCCAGTCTATACTATGCAAGCTTTGGCCCTTCCGAAAAGCACTTGCGACAGTATCGATAAGATTTGTAGAGACTTCTTGTGGGTGGGGGGGGGGGGGGGATACACAGGAAAAAAGAACATTCATTTGGTGAACTGGAACAAAGTGTGTCAGCCCCGTGATTCGTGAGGTCTCGGTCTTCGGAAAGCAAGCCACTTCAATGAAGCCCTCCTCGCTAAACTCGCTTGGCAGATGTGTGGTAAGTTCGATAAACTCTGGATACAAGTCATGAGAGACAAATACGTCAAGAACGAGGACTTCTTCTCCGCCAAGGTACCTGGTAACACATTGTGGGCTTGGAAAAGCATAACCAAGGGAAGAAGTACGGTCATCGGCAATGCGGCTTGGAAAGTTGGCAATAGTCGATCGATAAATCTTTGGAAAGATTGGTGGGTAGGCAGCATGCCGCTCGGCCTTCACCAGAACATTGATATCCTGGAGGAGCTTGGTTCCTGCATGGTAAGCGATTTCATCCTCCAGAATAGAAGCTGGGACCTTCCCAAGCTACAAGAGATTCTCCCGGATAACATCATTGACAACATCCGTGCTATCCCGATTCCGCTCGATGATCAGAGGCAAGACTCGATGGGGTGGACAAATGGCGAATCTGGTAAGTTCTAGACGAAATCTGCCTATGCTTGTGTTGCTGGTATTGACGAGGAAAACAGGGACTAGTCTTGGCTCTGGAAACTGAAGTGTTGGGAAAAAATTAAAGTCTTCCTCTGGCTCATCCTCAAAGGTCGGTTGCTGACCAATGCGGAACACGTTAGAAGGCATCTGACAGATTCCAGTTTGTGCTCATGGTGAGGCTTAGCAGAGGAGTCCATCAAGCACCTTCTGTGGGAATGCAGCACTGCACGAATGACGTGGTATCTCTCGGAGACGCCGACAACCTTTGATTTCCCGATTCACTGGACGGTCGAACAATGGATCATAACAAACTGCTCCAACCAGCAGAATAGCAGTTGGCCCTCTCACTTTGTGTTATATCTTTGGGCAATTTGGAAACATAGAAATGCTTGGGGTTTTCAAAACCAGAAGTCCAGCCCCCTTTCAACTATCCAATGGGATAAATCCCAGGTTAAAGAACTACTTGATTTTTCGAAGAAAGGGGAAGTGATCAAAGCACGGGCAGACTGGGTCCAATGGTTTCCGCCGCCACAGGATTGGTTCAAACTTAACAATGATGGAGCAGCTAAACGCAACTTGGGCATTGCATTTGCAGGCGGGCTGGTGAGAGACAGCTTGGGGGGTTTTGTTTGGGGTTTCACCACAAATATGGGTAAAGCCAATAGCTTCGTGGCAGAACTGTGGGGCATAAGGGAGGGTCTACGACTTTGTCTCGAGAAGGGGATTCGCCGGGTTACGATTGAGATGGATTCTAAAGCCGTTATCGATCTCCTCTACGGTGATAGGGACATGGATGACAATGGGTGTACTCTTCTGTATGACTGTCTCGACTTGGTGCCCAAGTTTGAAGGGATCTCCTTCAACTATATTTTTAGGGAAGCCAACACTTGCGCCGACTTCTTGGCCAATTTCGCGCAAGCTAAAGAGTGGGGTACTTGAGTGTTCACTGAACCTATGGAAGGTCTCATCCCTTTCCTGGATCGAGATGCGGGAGGGGCCAGCTCCTGTAGAATTTCTTAGTTTGAGGCGCATCCCCTCTTTCCTCACCAAAAAAAAAAATCAAGAGCAAATACCAATTTTGGTCCCGCGAGTATTAGCAAAATGACAGTTTTGGTCCACATGTTTAATTCCTATCAATTTTCATCCACTGCTATTGTTTTAGTACCAATTTTCATCCACAAGAATTATTTTAGTGCCAAAATTCATCACGTCGGTCATCCCTTCGTTTAAAACATGCCGATATATTAAATTATTAAGGGTATTTTCATCTTTTTCAAATTAAGATCTCAATTTGAACATGAATAAAGGGATTTAAGCCCTAAGATAGATCCAAAATCGCAATTCTCCCCCTCAAATTAAGGTAGGATGAGGAGGAGAACTGCGAATTAGGATCGACCTTAGGCCTTAAATTCCTTTATTCACGCTCAAATTGGGATCTTAAGTTGAAAAGGACAAAAATACCCTTAAAAATTTTAGATTTCGGCATGTCTTAAACAGAGGGGTTACCAGCGGGATGAATTTTGACACTAAAATAATAGTCCTGGGTTAAAATTGGTACTAAAACAATAGGTGTGGATGAAAATTGGTAGGAATTAAACATGTTGACCAAAACTATTATTTTTCTAATACTCGTGGGACTAAAATTGGTATTTGCTCTCCAAAAAAATGTAAAACTTCTCTTTTTGTATATATATATAATAAAAGGGAAATGCTAGTACTTAAAATTTCATATTATAATAATATAGAAAATTGTAATTTATACTCAACAATATGTCAATTATCAATGTCACACATGAATTATTAGTGGTGTAAATGTTGCTCATCGATTTTCAAAATGTGACATATATTGCCCCTCCCCTAATAGGACTTTTTGAGGGGCAATATATGTCACGTTTTAAACATTGAGGGGCAACTAACATTTACATTATTAATAATTCAGGAATGATATTGATAATTGGTATATTTGTGAGGGCATAAATTATAATTTTCCCATAAAAATATAAAGCGATATATGCATGCTCAATCACTTATACAATTTATAAAAATTAAAATTATATAAATATCTTTTTCTATTTTAGGAATAAAATATTTTCTTGTATACCACAATAGAAATTCTCTTAAAATATAGACTGGAATGCGCATTTATTTTTTAAACAAACATTTTAAGCAAAAAAAATTTCTTTCAATAATCAATATTATTTATCTCCAAACATAGTAACATGATATAACTATTTTTTTCGTGTAATTTATACTGAGGATGATAATTTATAAATGCATAATAACATTAAGGGAAGTAAATCCTATTATATAGTATGTAATATACTAATATTATTTAAACAAAATTTTAACCCAAAATAAAGAAAAAAATTTGTGCAGTTTTCAAATTTCAACTTTGCTAACCCTACTATAAATTAGGTACGCTTATGCTTCTAGCTTTCAGTATCATTTCTGTCTTCTCTCCGGCGATGGCGACAGTAAACTTCCGACAACCCTCGGTCACATTTTCGTTTGAGTCGAGCTTGCGTCCAGGGAGGGATACAAGAACGATGATAATAGAAATTGTTTTGAAACACAAACACAGGGTTTTCTTGAGAGATTCGCGGCGGGGTGAGATTGTTGATTCCTATGAGAGAAACACCGATTCCAGCGTTTCTTTTCCTTTGCCCATTGATTCTGTTGTTGGGTTGTCCTTTTTCCACTTCACGCCTTTCAGGGCCCAAGTTTTTGAGCGGATGCCGGGATTGGCTCCCTCCATAGCCGGCGAGCTTTCCCGACAAATGTTCCATTACGCGCGACAAGTTTCACTTGCCCGTCTGGGCAACAATGGCGATGACGGTATAATAGTGGTCGCGGCTCTCGTGGAGATTGAGGAGCCAGAAATAGAAGAAGTTTACACTGAGACTAGTGTAGATGATGATGGTGAGATTAACGGGTTGAAGAAAGAAGAGTTCAAGAGTAGCGGTGCAGAAAAGGAAGCATGTTGTTCCATTTGTTTGGAAGAGTTTTCTGCGGGAGTGAATGTTAGGCCATTGCCATGTTCTCACAGCTTTCACCATAGCTGCATTGCTAAATGGCTTGAGAAACACGCAACCTGCCCGCTTTGCCGAATCCACATCACACAACCATGCTCATCTTGATCACATCATAGCTCAGAATGGGAAGGTTTACCGCATGGGATACAAAAATGGGAATGAAGGTTTTGGGCTTTAATTTGGACAATTCAAAAGCAGGAATGAAAAGGGACTTTGTTTTTTGTTTTTTTTTTTTGTTTTGTTTTGTTTTTTTGTTTTTGTTTATTTGTTTGCTTGTTTGTTTGTTTGTTTTATCAAAATCGATAACTTCAAACGTAACTTTGTTTAATTTTATAATAGTTTCGTGGTAATTTTTTTGTTCTACTAACGTAACTTTGTTTAATTTTATTAGTGTGCTTTAATAATTTTTACAGATTCAATTTTATTATAATTATACTGCCCTAATCTGGATATTCTAAAATTTTAAATATTTTTCGTAATGTTTCTATTATATTTGATACTAATTATTGTCTTTTTTCAACTATTTGGTTTTCAAATTCTTCTATTTTTTGTCTAATTTATTTATATATATATTTTTATTGTTGTTTACATTTATAATGGTAATTTTTTCCTGTATTATTTTCACACATTATGCATTTTAACTCTATGATAATCACCTATCCTTTTCCAATCTATTTTTTTCTTGTTTTAATTTGTTCTTATTACTAATAATTTTATTCCATTGTTTAGTAACTTCTTCGAAGTTATTACTAGTTGAAGCTTCTTCAATATTTGCGATTTTATTATATTTCAAGATCTTATATAGCTTTAAAATGTGGATAAGTTACCAACTCTATGTAATAGTATTCTTAAAAATTTAACAAGACGAATAATATTAAAAATAAACATCATTTTCCATTAACATTTTTATAACCTTTACTAAATTTCTAAAGAACATACCCCTTCAAATATTATTCCAGATCCTTACAATTATCAAACAAAACTACTGGTTTTAATGTTAATTAAGATGGTATTGTTGGTGTCCGGGATTTGATGGATTAACACAAGTTGACTTGCTGAATTAGCATTTATCTTTACGTTACAATTCAACTAGCATTCATATGTGAAACAAGTACAATAACGTCAACAGATAGAAATCTGATTCCCTAAATTTTAGAGTAATGAAAAGGAAATTCATAAATAGACTAGAGAATAAGTTTAACAATTTGTGTATGAAGTTTCAACAATACTGTTAATTGTTAACAATTTGTGCTTTTATAGATTATGGTGAAAGCTAGATATTCAATGAATCAATGTACGTTTCTTGAATTGGTAACTCTTTTATCATTGTACAACAAATATGTAAATAACGTTATTTTAGAAAAATAACCTACAAAATGCCAAGTACATATACATAACCAAAACTTTATAAACGCTAGCGAAGTTTACATGTTCGTGCTTTAAAATATACTCCGTAATGTTCAAAGTGCAAATATCGATGAAATTAGTACAATCAAATTTCACTTAATTTCTTAAGAAGCTATAGATGAATTAAAAAAAAAAAGGAGCAAATGATAATTTTGCTAATTCTCCAACTCCCCCTTCATTTTTGAGGGATTGTGCATGCCTTTCAAATCAATAGGTCTACCACATTTATGTTGTGAGACATTATTCACATTTCGTTCATTTGAAACACTAATCCACCTAGGGGCATTCTCTGTAGGGACATGTGACCTAGTCACTTTGCTCGAATTGTTAAATGCACGATATGATGCAAGTTAGTAGCTATATATATATGGTTTGTAAGTGGATTAAGCCTTTCCACATCTTGCTCACACTATGATGTATGTGTGTCTAAATGTTAAGGTTCTTTTCACCATATGAGATTTTCTTGATGAACTGGTGCATTATCATTCTTGAGTATAGGGAACACAGTCTCGCTAAAATGACAGTAGTCTCCAAATCTTGTAGTAAACAAGCCACATGTCTTAGGTTTCAAGAACCAAATTATCGATGGGCACCTAACATATATCCCAAGCCTTCTTTTGAGACTCATTTTAGTTATTAGTGGAAGTGCAATGGGCACTTGAGCAACACAACCAAAGTTGCGTAGTGCGATATATCTAGTTCGAATCTTGACACAAGTTATTTAAGAGAATAGAGTGTTGGATGAGGTGGAATGCAACTTAATAACCACAAGTCAATCATATATCCCAAGCCTTCTTTGCAGCCTTGTTGAAGCACTTCAGTACCTAACCATCACTTGTCTGGATCTATCCTTTGCAGTCAACAAATCTAACTCTTTGACATTAAGCACTGGGTGACACTCAAATGAGTTCTATGGTATGTCAAAGGTACTCTAGGCAATGGAATGCATTTTATAAATTCTAGCTCGCTCTGGTATTATCCATGCTTTCTCAGATTTTGATTACGCAGGGTACCCTGATGACTGAAAATCCACTAGTAGTTTTGTTTTCTTCATTGGCAAAAATTTAATCTCTTGGGCTTGTAGCAAGCAAGAGACAATGGCTAGATCCTCAACAGAAGTAGAGCACAAAGCTATAACAGAAGTCTTAACAAAAGTACATGGTTAGTTGCTCTCATTCGTGAACTTAGATGTAATCACAATAGCAAAACCACCTCAGCTCGACCCTGGTGTGACAATTTTGGTGCTACGTATCTATGTGTAAATCATGTTTTTGATGCCCGAACTAGGCAGCCCACTTTGTTCGTGACAAAGTAGCATCAAAATAGTTACAAGTGAACTATATCTTTACAAATGATCAACTTTCGAACATCTTCACCAAACCACTCAACATTGCTAGATTTAATCTTCTAAGGGACAAGCTCAATGTTCTCTCTAGAGAACCTTAAGCTTAGTTTGAGGGGAGATATTAGGACTCTGTATTTTATCATCTTTAGAATTTCCACTCCATCTCTGTATATTATTGTAACTCTATTTTTACCCGTCTTATTCTAGCTAGGACTATCTCTTACCCTATAAATGCATCCATCCTTGTACTTTGTAAACACGATTGATCAATAATAAAAACTCTGTAGAAATTCTTGTTCTCATCTAGGGCACCAAATCGGCAATAAACTAAAAGCAAAATAATGCTTCCAAATGAGCCATTTGGAGACACTAAATTGATGAACAATAAATAGAAATATGAGACTCTCTAACAGTTTCTTTAAGTCTCTAACTCTCGTAGCGACACTATGACTTTGTGTGAGAGTTATAAAATTAGGACTTCCACCTTGGTCTAGGTTTTACAAAGTATGAGAGTATGATTGTGAGAGCGTGAGAGATAGGGACTAGGGTTTAGGATCCGTTTGGAAACTTGGAAAATGACTTTTGAAAGTTATTTTTCAGATTTTTCAATGTTGGGGTGCTCAAGAAAAATGAAGTCAAATGAAAATATTCATTATGGTCAATGAAAAAAAAGTCCAAATTCGACAAAAATGTCTTCCTAGTTTTTTATTTTATAGATTCTTTATTTTCTATCATTCTCTCCTCTCTTTTTTTTTTTTAGTTAGTTTTCGAAGAATTATTATTGTTATTGTTATTGTTATTGTTATTGTTATTATTATTATTACCACCCGACCACCAAATAACCACCAACACCACTATATCACACCACAACACAACCACAACATCACCACCACCACCGTACCACACCACCACCATCACCACTACCACCACCATTGCCACCAATATCACCACTACCACCACCACCACCACCACCACCATCACTATCACACCACCACTACCCCTACCACACCACTACCACCACTACCCCTACCACACTACCACCACTACCACCACCAGCACCACTACCACCAACACCAACACCACCTCCACTACCACCACAACACCAACACTACTGCCACACCACCGTACCATCACCACATATTATTATTATTATTATTATTATTATTATTATTATTATTATTATTATTATTATTATTATTATAGTAAATTCCATTTTTAGTCCTACTGTTATATAGGTCATTCCAATTTTAGTCCACCATTATTTGTCTTGCTACATTGCGACCACTGTTATTATAAGTGTTTCACTTTTAGTCCACCGTTAACATTTCCGTCTCATAGTCGTTTAATCCAAGGGTATTTCCGTCATTCCATGGTTGAAACTTCTCTTTTACTTGACTTAGGGCGATGAGATTATGAGACTTCACCGATCTCTGCCGACCCGGCCGGGGATAAGAGGTGGAGGAGGTGTTGCTTGCCGGCGTGGAGATGGAGGATCAGGTGAAGCTGGACGTGATTGCGGCAGAGCAAAGGGAAAGATGTTCCCGAAGAGCAGTTCAAGGTGTTGCAGGAGATGCAGAGGAGCACGGTTCATTTGCAGAGCAAAGAGCAGAAGGAGGTTTTGAAGCTCTTGGATCTCGAGCACGCTCATTGCGTGTTCGGCGATTTGGTTCAGAGAGCTTCTAAATGCTTGCCTTCCAGCTCTAAAGCTTACACTCCCTCCAATTTGTCCAGGAATTCCAGCAGTTTGTCATTGGTCAACTTCGGTTCCATGTCAGGCAGCAGTTTCAGCGACCCAGCCACCGCGACCGCCATCGCTACGCCGTCGTTCGGCTTCTACATCGAGTAATAGAGGATAAATAATAACAAAGAGATATTTTTGTAATTCAAGAAGGCTTGGATATTTGTTGTAACCGCCATTTATATTAGTTGGCAACCTTCTCTTCATGCATCATAATACACGTTTCATTATTTCCGTTCTGTTCCGAGCTCTCTCTTCTTTTTCCCGCTTCTTCCTTTGTATCGCGATATAGTATCATAGCAGCGGTGGAGGTCCTACGCCGCCGCTGCCTCCGGTGAGGCTAGTCAGGGAGGTCAGACGGGAGCTCCGGTGATTGGATCGCCGGCTCTTACAACTCCTACCTCAAATACGCAACAGGTTCCTCCTTCGCAGACACAGAGAAGCCAGGCGAAGGAGGATCTGAACAATCCTTTCTATTTTAGCCCAGCTGAGAAGCCAAACGCTATGCTTGTGAGTCCTCCTCTCGTAGGCAGTTCGAATTATACTTCCTGGTGTATATCTATGAAGATCGCCCTTGAGGTGAAGAACAAATGGTGCATTGTTGAAGGCAACATC